AGGAGGTCTTGCATTACGAGTGCACTGGAGAGACCTGGATAACATAAGTGTTAATAACAATGAACACCTGCTCAAAGGTGATCAGTCTCTTGCCCTTCTGCAGCAGTCGTTTGACTGAAGCTGTTTCACTGGAGAGATGTAAATGTTAAAAGATTCTTGTAGGAACGCTGTAGAGACTAACCTAGGTTTTTAATTGGTTTGACAATTCCATAGGGACAATTAATAATTCAGAGCTGGGAGCTTTGCAATTTTTTTTTTTTTTGATAGATGCCTCCTAGTACCTCAAGGCCTGGTTCTCGTGGAGGCTCTTCAACCACTGGAGGAGTCTTATCATCTCAGATTAAAGTTGCAGACCGTCCAGTGACTCAACAAGGATTAAGTGGAATGAAAACTGCAATGAAAGGTATTTTTAACTGAAAATAGCTGACAAGGTGTCTGCAAATATTTGAAAAGAGTATTTAGGTTTTTAAAGGAAAACTTTTCATCACTGTAGGAATTGCAGAGTGAACAGCCATGATTAATAAGAATAGGAGAATGGAAAGGAAGATCAAGATCTCTCCTGCTTTTTTCTTTGCAGCTTTTCCATGCCTGGGACATTTTTAAAAGTAATTCAAAAGAATAGAACAAGATAAATATTGTTTTCTTCCATCACTGCAGAATAACTAAACCACTGTCTTACATAGTAACCATTCATATACCTGAAAAAGCAGTGCTTCTTTTCATGATAGTATAAAATTAATTTCTACCTTTGTTTTAATGAGGTAAAGTCTATTACAGAATCAGTGTTCTCAGTGGAAGACAGTAGTTCTCTGTCTGGAAATTCTGCAAATTGTTTTCATAATTCACAGTTCAAAATCAAAATTATTTTTCTAGTAAGATGTCGTCCTGCTATCCTTTTTCAGGTCCTCAGAGACAGATAATGGATAAAACATATTACCTGGGACTGCTGAGGTACGTCTTTACAACTCTTTGAATCTTCAGGAGGTTTAATGCTCTGTTCCCTTGCTGGCCTGAGTTTTATTGTTATTAACAACGGGATAAATGTTGTTCACTTACAATGAAATCTGTCCTGTTAGAAAAGTTAAGGTTATTTTGCGTGTTCTTTGTAGAAGGAGAAGAGTTTCATGTTATGTTCATGTTCAAGTACAAGTTGATTCCTTTGAGATCTTGTTATTAAGCTTGTGAAGTCAAAATTAGTAAAAGGAGGGTCAGTGATTTTGAGCTTCCCGCTGTAATACTCGATAGGTCTCCATTCGTAAGAAGCAGCATCACAAACTCAGCACTCTTTAGCGTGCATTTTGGGTGGTTTACTTGGGTTATACATTGAGCAATACTGACAAAGGCAAGGCTTTTCAAAAACTGTATTGCAAGTACTACTTTCCCAGTTGATCATATTGCAGTATTGAATAATCAGCCCTAAAAGATGTCATTTTAAATATGTGTGAGGGATATCCACGGTCTGTGAAATGATGCTATGACTTTTTTTCCCTGTCCATTTGAGAGTAATTCACATCTGTTTCACCAGAAGGGACAAAAAGCTAATTAATACTTTTTATTTCACATCAAGGTTTTCTAACAGCTACGTACATTTTTGTCTATTAGAATCACGCTGCTTTTTTCTTTACTTATCCAGCTCTTCCCTGAAACATGGTTTAAAACATGGTGGAGTGTGAGAAAGAGATACTGGTTTTATGTGTCCTATAAGAAAATATGATTTCTGTTCTGTCTGTGTTTTAGCTGTACGTTCAGGTGGTAATGATTCTGTTATGTTTATTTTTTTTGTAGAAGCAAAACAAATGAACTCACAACAGAAATTAACAAGCTCCAGGAAGAAGTGGAAATGTACAAGCAAGAGAAATCTGTGTATTTATCATATGAAAAAAGGTGAGATGTACTGCAGCTAATGCAGTGCTAACTTCATCAGTCAAAAAACTAGTCTTGGCTGTTCTACAGGCCTCAAGGAACCATTAAATAATTTTTTCTTCATTATTTTTATATGTACAAAGCTTCCCATCTTAAGTTTGACTTTGTTTTGTATTTAGGGCAGAGGCTCTAGCTGGTGAGATCAAAGAATTTCAAGGTCAACTAGCAGACTACAACATGGTATGCTGCTCAACTTTTAATACTGAACACTCTCACTTCCCTCATTTACTTTGTACTGCTTTTGCTTTATGTCAGCACAGTTTTTATTCAGTTTTAGGAAAGGAAAACCATGGAAAGTAAGGAAAACAAAAGACAAAAAGGAAGTGTATTATATTTTAGGAGAAGCGGCTGCATACGGATTTAAGAAATTACTCCTGCGTGATATTTATGGGGTTTATGCAGCTACATACAATGATGATTTCTTCTGAAAACTGCATGCAATCTATTCAGATTCCCAAATCCTATTTTTTGCCATTTGCAACAGTAGAAAATTGTTCTATCTTTATGATACAGTATACTCAACTTTGTGAGTTGCTACCTATTTGTCTGATTTTTTTGTGTGTATTTTAAAAAAAGAACAGCACTAAGAGGGTGGAATTCTGTCTCGTTTCAGGCTGTTGATATCCTTAACACCAGTACTGATATGGCAGAAGTCATTCGAGATTACAATATGGTAAGAATGAGAAAATTTGCTGTATTTGAACAGTGAAATAATGTGTGTCAGATTCTTGGTGCTTTGAGTATATGACGTATAAATTAAGGCTACTATGCTATTTTTGATAACCTACACATTTTTCTGGTTAAATTAACCATAATATTGGCAATGTGTTTGTAGTGAGACAATTGTCTGAAGGGTTGCATTGACAGCCCTATGATCATTTTATGTATTTTAGTTTTGAGAAGGCTGTTGTTCCAACCCAAATTACAGATGTTGGAATATATTCTTTATTAGACTTGGGAGATTAGAACACTATTCTAGTGAAAGGCAAATTCACTAGACTGCACTGCCTTGTAAAGCTGCCTGGTCTTCTGGAAATGTAGTCCCTGTCGTCTTCGGACTTTTAAATGACTCAAGTGTAATAAATATTAAACAAGTTTCTGACGTGGCCAACCACAAAACCTTTATTTATTTTCTAACAGAGGTAGAGTATTCCTCTGAGTATTAAGGCAAGAATGGCGTTAAGCATGTTTAATTTCTTGTGATCACTTTGTCCATAAGCAAAAGAAAATAGTTTTAGGAAAGGTTATTTTGGTAGCCTGAAAAAGTGCTTGAGTAGTTCTTGGTCAAACCAATACTTTTTTTTCCTGTGTATTGGATTAACAAATAAACTTAAAATGGCTTTATCGTAAATGGAAGAATGCTTTGCAAGCATTAGATTTTCATTCAGTCTGTAGCCTTAAGCAATACTAAGTGTTCCAGGCATAGATCCTACAGCAATATTAAGTGAAATGATTTTATATATCTTCTTCATACACAGAGATGCCTTCTTACTTCTTCTACTTTCCAGTGGTAGACAGACTGCAGTTTCACGAGGTCTTTATTCAGTATCAACTGCTAAAAAACACCAGAGCAGGCAGCCTCTGAGGCTCCTTCTGCTGCATTCTTGACAGCTTCTTGCTCATTTAAAGAAACTTTGAATCTGTGTATAAGATCTGCCTCTTTATTATTATATGTTACATCAAAATACCTTTCTTTTTTTTTTAAGTTGAAGGTTCAGAATGACCGAGATGCTCAGAGTGTGGATAAAATCTTCACAGAAAGACAAGCGTGAGTACATGAAGTGTATACTTCACCAAAGCTGTTAAAATCGTATCTTAACTTGGCAAAATTGAGATGTTACCTGAATCAGAAATTCCTTAACGGTGTGATGCATGCCCCAAGTGACACCTGAGCAATTTCAGGATGATACATCCAAGCCAGGTTGCAGCTGGAGTTCCTCGCGCTATACTCAGAGTAACTGCCGTAACAATAGCAGGAGGAGTTAGGTGCCAGTGCAGACTTCTGTCTGCTGGCAACCTGCTTTTAAGGTCCTGAGTTTTGGAGGCTGTGTTATGGGGTAGCAGAGCGGGGAAGGCAAGCAGAAGTGGGAAGTGGGAACTAGAATGAAGAGTTCTGTCTGTAACGGTAAGGTTGTGTGGAGGAGAAGATGATGGTAGTAAGGTGCTTGCCGTTGGAGTTTGTAAGCTGTGAAAATGGCTTGTGTCGTGGTAGGCCGAGAGGGTGAGTTTCTGAGATGTTTAATTTAGGAACAGAAGATGTGCAGGATGAAGAGATATGATCCTTCTTGTTGCAAGTAAGAGCAATCTCAGTGATGAGATTTTATATATAAATGGGCACTTAAAAAGTAGTTGGCTATTTAATCATAAGTTGCTTTTCCATGATACTGTTGTTTTCAACAGCTCATAAATGTGTCTGTTCTAGCTCTGAATACATCTTGAAGCGTTAAGACAATACACAGAGAAAAAAGACATAAAGTCATTAGATAGGCAGTAATGATAATTTATTTTTGTAGTGTATGTAGTCACATTTAAGGGAATGGAGCAATTGGTCTCCTGCGCTCTGCTGATTTGAGTTAAAAAAACCAACACAAATGCTTTGTTTTGGTGGTCTGTGTTAGTTTTGACTAGTAGACTACTGAGCTGTGGCATTATTGATTTGTATTCAGCCCCTAGTCTGTCTGTGGTCTGCTTTAACATTTAGAAAAATTGTTTTTCCTTTCTGGATTTCTTCACAATTAAACCGTTAGTGATTATCCCAGCTTCAGAGGCTACTTTGTAAGACTTAATACTAAGCAATATACAGTGAGCTCTCCCCCACCACCATAAGTAACCAAATAGGTTTTTATAAAAGGTGGAGGATGACTTTTTTTTTTGCATGTTTTGAAATATTCATTGTGACACTAATGCATACACATCATCACTAGGTCTTCAGCTTCATGATTCATGCAACCTTTTTGCAGATTTGACGACATGAAGGGAGATGGGCTTCTTAACTTCATTTTATGTTTCTCATAAGCAGTATCATATGGTAGCACTACAGTTTTGAAAAATCAGTTCATCATCCATTGCTTAAGACGTTAACTCTCCTCAGTTAACGTAAGATCTATGTATTTATCCTCAATAAATCCATCTTCCACTGGCACAAATGCATGATTTTTTTCAAAGATTACTGTGAGATCTTCATCGTTTGATACTGTAGGAGAAGAACTCGTGTCAGCTGAGAACTCCTGCTCAAACATCTCTGAGTCATTTTCTTCCAGACGATGGTGACTGTAGCTGATCAAATAGCTACACCATGTTGGGCATTTTATAGCAGTGAGTATCAGGAGTGTGGTGCCTAGGACAAACCCTAGAACACCTGCTAGGAAGGTCCAGCTCTTTCCGACAAGTGGTAACTCTTTAAAGAAGGAAAAAAGAAGAGTATCTTCATGAGGAATACCAGCAAGAATTCTAGCATAATTTTTTTCATAGTTACATTGAGAACTCGCAAAACAAATAATGATAGAGGAATTACTGAGTGTCTCCAAAGCTTTAGTAGAATGTTGTTGATGTGTTGTTAGGGAGTCAGTAACGTCACTTAGACCAAAAATGTGTGCACATCCCATGTTTCCTAGCAATATAAATCCACCATGCATATTTATCAAAAGTAATAGTTTCAAAGTCAGATAAAGTTCTTTGGGCATGTGAACCATAAATAATATTTTTTTCAAAATTTAAATTCCAAGATTGGGATTTGGAAAAGGAAAAGTAAGTAATTCTATTTCACAGTCTCGAATTTCTGTATATGGTTGACGTCTGCATCCTAAAATGTTATACCTTCCGTTCGGCATATCCTTTCAACTGTATTTCTTTTATAATAAAATTTTCAATAGGCTGTAGTTACCAGAAGCTGGTTTTGTATACTGGACACTGTCTATCACTGAAATTTTCAAAGAATATGGCGTGGGCACATCTGTGTCCTTTTCCCTGAGCACAGTTGAGGACTAGAGTAAAATTAAGGGTTCACATTTTAACAAGACATCTACATCTAGGAAGCAGTTAGCTTAGAAGCAGTAATTAGAATCATAGAATTGTCAGGGTTGGAAGCGACCTTAAAGATCATCTAGTTCCAACCTCCCTGCCATGGGCAGGGACATCTTCCACTAGATCAGGCTGCTCAGAGCCCCATCCAGCCTGGCCTTAAAAACTTCCAGGGATGGGGCTTCCACCACCTCTCTGGGCAACCTGTGCCAGGGTCTCACCACCCTCATGGTGAAGAGCTTCTTCCTAACGTCCAGTCTGAACCGATCCATCTCTAGATTTAATCCATTCCCCCTAGTCCTGTCACTATCCAACATCCTAAAAAGCCCCTCACCAGCTTTCTTGTAGTCCCCTTGAGATACTGGAAGGACACAATAGGGTCTCCCTGGAGCCTTCTTTTCTGCAGACTGAACAGCCCCAACTCTCAGTCTGTCTTCATAGGAGAGAAGCTCCAGCCCTCTGATCACCCTCGTGGCCCTCCTAAGGACATGTTTCAGCACGTCCAGATCTTTCTTGTGCTGTGGGCTATGAAACTGTACACAGTGCTCCAGGTGTGGTCTCACAAGAGTGGAGTAGAGGGGCAGAATCACCTCCCTCGACTTGCTGGCCACATATCTCTTGATGCAGCCCAGGACACGATTGGCTTTCTGGGCTGCAAGTGCACAGAAGCATCTTTAAAAGATGCTTCCCTAGTTTTGTTAGGCAGAGTTCTACACAATTACCTGGATTTCAAGCCTTTGAAATTTCATTATTGGTTTGCAGTATCATTTGAGAATTTGGTTGTGGTTTGCCTGTTTCAACCACTTACTCAGTGGAGCTTAGCACTCGCAGTAATGCGTGTGCAGCCTACCAAAAACTGGAAATACGCTTGTTCCGTAGCCCTGGCTTTTGTGGAGGAATTACAGTGCACTAGGAATACGAAATGTTAGGAAATCACGGAGCAGCAAATCAAAGTGCCTGTCAGCCATAAAGCGAATGTCTGTGTGTTACCTGCACGTGTTCCGTTGTTTCCAGTCGTGTCGTTTGTAGTCAAAAATGTTACTAAGACACTACTTTTAAGCTTAACAGCAGAAGTGGAAGTTACGATGGCATCTTCTAAAGGAGAGGCTTCAGTTTTGCAGTCAGCTGATGGGATAGCTACTGTCTTGATGGGGAATTTTTCCTTGGTGTTTGGCACCGTACACGTTGTGCTGTTTTCATTTTCTGTGAATGTGAGCGGTGGAAAGGCTCTGAGAAACTGGTGATTAATTGACACTCATCTAAAAAAATTTCATGGATAACTCATGTATTACTGCAAATTACAGACAAGTTGGTGGTGGATATTATCCAGATCGGGAAAAAAACAAGGTAAGGCTGTGTGATGTAAACGAGTATGAAATGCTACTCTTACAGAACTTACCCATTATCACGCTGGAGGCAGTTAGCCACATTTGTAAATCAAGGAGGTCACAGGAGCAGATCCATGGGTTTCCAGTTAAACCAATTTTAGTCAATTTGAAAGGTAATTTTATATGAAAATATTTCAGAAGGTTATACTGTAGATTTAAAACTGTCAGACTTTTTAGAGAAGTAAATACATCTGAGTGTAATTGGGTAATTCTGTTATAGGATAGGTTCAACACTGAGAGTTGATTTAATCCTGCGAATGCTGCTTTGTGAACTGTGCTGATATGGTTATTGCTTATGTCCAGAGTTACAAGTTTTGTCAGATTGCAGAAGCTGTTATTGTACAGTACAGTGATCATGTTTTCATTCAGATAAAGTTCTGTGAGGTTAATAAAACTTTGAAGAATCTCTTTGTCACTATCTTTTAAAGTGATTTCATTATTTTTGAGGCTTAATTTAGTAATGTTTTGGAAGAGGTTAGTGGGGATATTAGAGAGATTCTTTCCAGACTCCTCACAAGTGACCTGTTGAACAAAAGAGAGTGACAACAATTAAATACTGTAGGGAGGTCTGATGATGAAGGTGTCTCAGTGATTTCTAAGAGCATGAAAAATCATTCTTGTATTTTTTTAACGCCAGCACTTTTAAAGAAGAGTTCTATGGCTCTTCATGTATCTAAACTGAGGAAGTGTGGTCTGGATGACCGAGTAGTGAAGTGGGTCGCTAATTGGTTGAAGGGAAGAAGTCAGAGAGTTGTGCTCAATGGGGCAGAGTCCAGTTGGAGGCCTGTGTCTAGTGGGGTCCCTCAGGGGTCAGTGATGGGGCCAGTGCTGTTCAGTATATTCTGTTCAATGACCTGGATGAGGGAACAGAGAGCACTGTCAGCAGATTTGCTGATGACACAAACCT